TGAGTATCTGTGATACTGGTATTTTGTTTGACTTGTTTCAGCTTCCTCTGTGTTTTTCCCCACATGAGGTTCAGCTCCTGCCCCGCCCACTCTCACCTGGTCCTCGCTGTCTCTCTTCAGGTGTTTTCATGTCTCCCTCGTTAGTTTCCCCGTGTCCTTTTTATTCTCATGTCTGTCAGTGCACTGTGTTTTCTGTCAGCCTTTTCTTTTAGTTCTCCTGAGTTTTGAGTCTTCCAGTGTTTTGTTAACAAATATTATAGCTGCCAGGTCACCCTTTTGTTTTTACTTTTGTTAATAAATAACTTTGGCTATTTTTACTCCTGAGCCTGTTGAGTTTTGTCTGCCCCCTGGTAAGAACTGTATGCACACAGAATACATCCTTAAAGAAGACGGAGCCTGCAAACAAATCCTGGGAACATTTTCATTTTTACTACAACAACAAAATTATACACTTATTTTTGCAATTTGTGAACTTTGCGATGGGGATTTGTCTTTTAATAAAGTTAAAACCAGGATTGATGCTGGTGTTTGAATGTTCTGCTCACAACTGTTTCATAAGCAGGGTGGCACGGTGGCTCAGTTGGTAGAGGTGTTGCCTCTCAGCGAGAAGGTTGCTAGTTCAAATCCTGGCTGGGATCTTTCTGGGTGGAGTTTGTTTGTTCTCTCCGTGCATGCGTGGGTTTTCTCCAGGTACTCCAGTTTCCTCCCACAGACCAAAAACATGCATGTTAGACTGACTGGTAACTCTAAATTATCCCTAGGTGAGAGAGAGAGGGAATGGTTGTTTGTCTTGTTTGTCTCTGTGTCCCTGTGATGGACTGGAGACTTGTCCAGGTGTCCCCCGCCACTCGCACGGTAACTGATGGATATGGACACCAGTAACCCCAGTGACCGGAAAAGGAAGAAGTAGTTAAAGATAATGGATGAATGGATGGATGATGTATGGATGGATGATATATGTATGTATGGATGGATGATGGATGGATGATATATGTATGGATGATGGATGGATGATATATATA